TCCCCCCCCCCCCCCGGAGCTAATGGTGTTGCAGAAACTGCTGTAAATTCTTTTACAAACCAGTTCTCAATGTAGAGATGCAGATTCTTTGCCCAAATGACCACTGCCACTTCAATAACATGAACAACAATGCCCTTCTTTTGTGCAGCCTTTGTGAAAACCTTCTGCTTGTTGAGTCATATTTTCACCAGTATGTCTGTTTTGTCAGTGTGGTCCCCTATGGATTCATTTTGTTTTCTACTCTCTATAAAACAGGTAAAGTTGGCATATCAAGAGTCTGAAATTGTGGCCTTGTTGAAGAAAATTCCACTTGGCTGTAATGAGATGAACACTATTCGGGGAAGGGCTGAAGAGCTGAGAGAAGGGACCCTGTGTGATTACCGTCCTGTTTTGCCTCTCATGCTGGCCAGCTTCATATTTGACGTCTTATGTACTCCAGGTAAAACCCTTCTCTTGGGTGAAAGAGAAATCTGTAGAAAAGAAATCTGTACCAAGTCTTAGGAAAATGAGTAACAGAGATCTGTTCTCCCCCGAAAATCCTGGGAGTAGGTTTCTGCTGAAAATCCAAGAGAGGCCAGAATTTACTACAGTCGTCTGTTTCAGTTATGCATACCTCAGTTGTGTGTGTGTGCTTTGAGACTCAGCAAGGCTGAAATGAGGAGTGAATAGTGACTATATTGCACAGTAAATTACATTCAGAAGCTGCTAAGTTCAGTCCCTGACATTTCTAGGTAGGTCTGAGAAAGAATTCAGCCTGAAATCTCAAGAGAGCTGCTGACAGTCTGAATTGACATTGCTAGCTTAGATAAACCAGTGGCCTGAGTATATGGCAGTTTTCTATATTCCCACATGTGGACATGCTTCTTTAACTTTAGCAAATTTCTGCAAAAATGTGAAGCTGAGTGAACATTCCAAGATAAGGTTTTGAAATAGAAGTTTAGTACGTCATCTTCATACATTCCTGTAACTTTACTGCTTTGGGTAACACACTTTACTCTTTGCTTAGCTACTTAATCCAACATCCTTCCTCTTCCCAGTGGTTTCTCCTACGGGATCCAGACCCCCAAGCCGAAATTGGAATAATGAAATGCCAGGAGATGAGGAGCTTGGTTTTGAGGCAGCTGTGGCTGCTCTTGGTGAGTATGTAACTTGTTTCCTTTCTCTGCCAAGCCATTCAACAGCTGGGCCCTTGTTCTGTGAAGCCTTCTGCATGCCCATTGAAGTTGTATTCTGTTGCCTTAGCTTGGTATGAGTTGCTCTCAGTTTATGTAAAGCAGGCAGGATAGCATGTTTAAATCCTGTCCTCTGCCTTCCAGGCATGAAGACCACAGTGAGTGAAGCAGAGCACCCTCTCTTGTGTGAAGGTACCAGGAGAGAGAAGGGAGATTTAGCTCTAGCTCTGATGATCACATACAAAGATGACCAGTCTAAGTTAAAAAAGGTATGTCATATTTAGAGATGCTGATAGTTGGACTATGACTAATGATGGCTAAGCTTCTCTGGCTCATTTTATAACTATCTTTTCAGAGTTTTCATGGAGAACTTTTCAGCTCCACTGCTTTCCCAAGCATTCCTCAAAAAGTTTGTAATGTTAGTCTGTCTTGAGCACCTTCCACAAGTCCTCCTTCCATTCCCAAAACTAGCTTTGCAGTGAGGAATGGTGACATTAAGAAGGCTTCCGATACCCGTGGAGGCCTCCCTCTTAAGGCCTGGATTGTCATGAGAAGCATCACTTGATACCAGCCTGTATGAAAGATGGGAGTTTTCAGGGCTTTGCAAATCAGCAGAATAAGCTAGGGGTGTTGGGACCTCCATTTTCCAGGCTCCTAGCCATTAAGGACTGCCAAGATTGCCTATCTGTACCTAAAATGTGAGTTTTTTGCTGCTGCAGCACCAGAGTCTTCCCTGCTGTGAGACCCTCCCCCAATCTGTTTTGAGGTTATAAACTCTGGGGCAAAGGGGCAGCAGGAGACAAGGCTAGCTTGTTGGTGGGGAGTCGTGGTGCTCATTACAGACTGGATCTTTACTACAATAGATTTCTGGTTTCAGATTATAATGGGCTGGTGGGTGGGTGAATGTTGCTGTTATGAGCTTCCACATTACCATTTTAGTGCCATCATGGTTATTGTACATTGTTTTAAGTTATGTAAGCTAAAATCAAGATTAATGTCTGGTGCTTAGAAATGTGTGTAAAATGTTTACAGTATTTCCCCTTTTGCCTTAAGTAGTCAATATTGTCCTTCAACTTCATCCAGAGTGATCTTTTTGTTTGTAAGTCACTTGCCCAAATTTTTTTTGCTTCTCCCCTTACTACTTGTTTACATTGTAACAAGCATAGGTAAATGGTAGCAGCCTTGTGCTAGTTGTTCCCTAACTTCAGTTATTTGGTTAAAAACAGTGAACATTATTACCGCATTTTTCCGTTTGTAAGATGACCCAATTTGATCCCTGCTTTTCCTTTCCTTTTGCTAAGCCACAGAACTTTGCTAAGTCCCTTTGACCACCACTTTTCCTTGCCTTTTGCGAAGCCACGGGGCTTAACAAAAAGGAAAGGAAGGCTACCTTCAGGTAAAGCAGCTGTGAAAGGGCTGCACGATTCCAGCCCCGTGGCTTCGCAAAAGGCAAGGTAAAGTGGCTGCCTTCCATGTATAAAACAATTGTCAATTTTTTGTCTAATTATTTAAGGAAGAAGTGTCATTTTATGTACATGGAAAAATACAGTATATGTTCTTGTAAATGATAGCAAAGTAGAATTGAGGGCAAGCATTTGATGTGACATGGACCTTGCTAGGCAGTCGCTAATGGAAAATGTAATTAAATGTTGTGAACTAACTGTCAGTGAAGTGCTGTGTGAAATTGGGTGTTTTTAAGATTTAGCAAGTTTTACCAGTGAGGAATGGCCCAGATCTTTTGTAGATCAGAGAAAACAAAGGGAGAGGTTTTGGCGAATTCTTAGAAACTTGGTTAACCTCATGTCTGCACAGGATATGTGGGAAATTGTTTTTATTCTGAGTTAATACTGGAAAGCTGAGGGAACTTTTTTCTCAATCCTGTTTTAGGACAGTCTTTTTTTTTGGGGGGGGGAGTAGCCCATTGCTTTGTTTTTCTTATAAGGTACATGCTGAGTAACTTCCCTTTCATGTGCCAGCTAGAGAGTTGTGCAAGATGGAAGAAGAGCGTTTCCGGTTTTTCCACGAGAATTTCCAGGATCACAGGGGATTTCTGAGGGAGAAAGGTTAGGTGGTGGGGTAGGTTTTGTGGCTTTGAGAAAAAGCTGCCTACCAAGTTACAGAGGCCCAGTGCTTCTGAAATCCTATTTCATGTCTCTGACTTCACATTTTTTTGTTTTATATCTCATCTGTAGTAGCTTCACAAATGTAACTCTACCATATCCTGATAACTCTTTTGTTCAGATGCTGACTTCCATGTTTCTCTGTTGTCTTATAAAGATCTTGGATAAGCTGTTAGACAGGGAGAGTCAGACACACAAGCCGCAAACTCTAAGTTCATTCTACTCATCCAGCAAGCCTACCGTAGCCAATCAGAAATCTCCTTCCAAGCATGCCACCCAAACAGCTGCACCTATTCAGCATCTGCCAGGAACTTCAGTCACACAACAGACAGGGGTGCCCACTGCTGTCCAGAGCAATCCTTCGGAACCCTTTCTGGAAAAGAGTACACAAGGTATGAGCCTTTGTTTAGCAGGATTGCTACTACCCTTCACGTACCAAATAAAGAGAAACCAAATGCATTGGTTACTGTGTGTTTTTTCCTGTGCTTGTTTGGACATTTGGCCCATTTTCAGTGGTCCTCTAGAACAGGGGTCCCCAACCCCCTGGTCCGTGGCCTTTGCAGGACTAGGCTATGGAGACAAATTTCTGCACACACTCCCACCACACGTGCTCACATGCACACACGGCCCGCCCACCTGCATGCACAGGTGCCCCACCCACCTTCAAGCTCACTATGCCATCCGTGCATGTGCACAAGCATGCCATGCCCACCTGCAAGTGCGCCACGCTCACCCACGCATGCAGGTGTGCCCCACTCACCTTCAAGCATGCCCCGCCCACCCGCACATGTGTGCAAGCGCTCCCTGCCCACCCATAAGTGCACCCCACCCCACCCGTAAGTGGGGGGTACCCCCTGTGCACAGACCCCGCCCCCCAACTGGTCCGCGGTTCGGAAAAGGTTGTGGAGCTCTGCTCTAGAATACTTCCATGAGTTTTCCTTTAAAAACATAGGCGTATATAACCCTCTCTACAGGTCATGCTCTTCTGCAGAATTTTAAAAAGGATTGTCATTTTCCTTACATTCAGGGAATAATTTTCTAATGATATTGCACATGCCTGTTTGGAAAATGAGAGAACAATATTAGAGTTGGTGCTGTTCAGTCTTGTTTGTGTGATTTTTCTTTTCTCTTTTAAGAAGCCAACTCTGGGCAAATTGCTGAAGCAGACCTGTTTATGAATTCCTCTTCCTGCCGTTGTAGCTCTTCTGCTCTTGTGTTTCTCCAGAGAACCCACAGAGATCTCCCTGTGACCCACCTGTGGAATCTGCTGTTTTAAAACAAGAAGGGAAGGTTCCTAGTCGATTAGCTCTTGGCACTAGAGGTGGATACAACGGAAGATGCTGGGGTTCACCGGTGAGACAAAAGAAGAAGCACACAGGTCAGAAGGAATTGTGGGGCTATGGAGTACATTTATCTGTGATGTCATTCTGCATGCCCACTGCATTTGAAGGCACTTTTCTGTTCCTGTGTATTATATTGATTAGCTCTTTATTGCTCATTCACTGTGAACTGATTTAATCAAGTAGTGTGCATTGAGTGTTTACCAGTGCAGGAGACTTCCCTGTTAGATCAGCGGTCTCAGTTAGGGTTTCTGAATTTCAAAAGTAGACACAAATCTCCTGTTAAAGTTAACCCATGTGCTTTTAAATATTGGCTTTGGCTTTGCAGTTCTGTTCTATCTCTTACTTCTCCAAACACCCTTTAAATGCAACTATGTATATCTGAGCAGCATGTGGCCTATAAGGGTTGCATGTGCCTCTTGGCTCTTTGTGACCCTGCTTGCACCAAATTAGGAGATGGACCAGTTAAATGAATTACATTTTTTATGTCAAACAAACTGTTAAGTGGCTATGGGCAGAATCTTATTACTGGTTTATGTAAGCAGAAATCATCAGTAGTGTTTTGACCTGTCTCTTGCTTTAGAGAACAATAACACATCCACAAGCTTCATCATTAAAATAAGGTACATGGTTTCTATGGTTTTAGTGAAATTGGAACATCTGTATTTTATAGTGCTGTTCCACTGAAGTGAATGCACATTTGCACAAATTTTGGCCCCTCTAACCTAAAGGTAGGCTGCTGTTCTTCTGTTGTGGCCTGGCAGATGCTTGACATACATGCATCTGTATTAGTGCACCCAACTGGTAACACACCTGGCAGTGCAGCTGGGAGTCTTACTGAGCCCCCAGTGGATCATTTTATATAGTGCTCCATTTGGCTTGGAGAGGAAATGTTGATTAAGCTTGCACATTCTTACAGTTGCATTAAGAATGTGTATTATATGGACATAAAGGATGGATTGGTTTTGAAATTAACTTTAGGGAGGCCTTCCACTCTGACCCTGGTTGTGTTGAGGTACTCTTACATTTCTGCCCAGTCTTTTGTTATCTGCATTTTTGTTCTCGTTTTCTGTTTCATGTAGTCTTATTAATGTTCTGTTTTTATGTGGTTAGATTGTCTGTAGTTTTATTATATTAATTATTTGACTCTGTATTGAGAATTGCCCAGAGTAGTGATGTGACATTAGTGGGCTTGTTTTATTAAATTCAATCAACCAATCAATTTCTTATCTGTAATTTTTTAAAACATAGGGAAACACCTCCTATCCCAGCCAATAGCAAAGTTTAACAAACACAGTGGCACTTTAGATCGGTGGCGTGACTGTGCAGAGGATATTATGTATACTTTGGGTCACCCTTCTCAAACATAAATAAGTACCTGAAAAGAGGCAACTGTATTTTCAAAAGACAGAAAAGTCAAGGGATTTTTACTTTGTAGAAAGCTCCAAGTCATAGGCCTTTTTAGTTTAGGGTTGGGTGGTGGAGGGCAATGAAATGGGGCTCTGTCAAGGGTTTTTAATATGTTGGATGTTTTCAGGGAGATCATAAGTATCTCTCAGCACTAGAACATGTGTACTCTGTGAAGCTTATTGTAAACAAATCCAGAGCTATTGAAAAGAAGTTATTTCGCAGATCAAACAAATGGCCAGTAATTTAGTTTAAAATATTAGACAAAATATTTGATAAACAGATCCTCCATGAAGATTATCATGATATTTAAATAGAAACTTAGGCAGGTTATACTGGGGGGTTGTATTCTAGTGTACATTGACTGCTAATAGTATACAGTGACAGTTAACAGATTGTTTCATTTTTAATGGATTAAAATAAAGGAATAGCTGTTCTTATTTCACTAGCTAGTGCTGGAACTTGAGAGCTGAATCTGACGGATGGCAGTTTGATTAAAAAAGTATTTTATATTTAGTTTTAGTAGTCCAGAACTAGTAGGCTTATGGAAGTTGGATATTATTTTAAGAGGAATGGCTGACAGTTATAAAGTGACCTGGTCCAAGTTCTCTTATTGAAAGTCAGCCATACTTTGTTATTTAGATTAAATTTTCAGAAATTCTAAGTTCAGATGAGCAAACCATTTTTCGTGAAGTTATTAATGCAGGAGAAAGAACTATTAGTTTCAGACTTGCTGTCATGTTCTTATCTTGCACTGCCCTTTTTCAGTATCAGTAGTGGCATTTAGGCGTTCTTAGAGACGCTAGCAAGGTGATGCTCAAAATCTTCCAAGGTAGGCTTCAGCAGTATGTGGACCAAGAACTCCCAGAAAGACAAGCTGGTTTTTGAAGGGGCAGAGGAACTAGGGACCAAATTGCTAACATGCGCTGGATTATGGAGAAAGCCAGAGAGTTCCAGAAAAACATCTACTTCTGCTTCATTGACTATGCAAAAGCCTTTGACTGTGTGGACCACAAAAAACTATGGCAAGTTCTTAAAGAAATGGGAGTGCCTGACCAACTTATCTATCTCCCGAGAAACCTATATGTGGGACAGGAAGCAACAGTTAGAACTGGATATGGAAACACTGATTACTTCAAAATTGGGAAAGGAGTACAACAAGGCTAAATATTGTCCCCCGGCTTATTTAACTTATATGCAGAATACATCATGCGAAAGGCCGGACTGGAGGAATCCCAAGCCGGAATTAAGATTGCTGGAAGAAATATCAACACCCTCCGATATGCAGATGATACCACTCTGGAACCTTGTAATGAGGGGGAAGAGAGTGCAAAAAACAGTCTGAAGCTCAACATCAAAAAACCTAAGCTCATGGCCACTGGTCCCATCCCCTCCTGGCAAATAGAAGGGGAAGATATGGAGGCGGGGACAGATTTTACTTTCTTGGGTTCCATGATCACCGCAGATGGTGACAGCAGCCATGAAATTAAAAGATGCCTGCTTCTTGGGAAGAAAGCGATGACAAACCTCGACAGCATCTTAAAAAGCAGAGACATCACCTTGCCAACTAAAGTCCGAATAGTTAATGGTTTTTCCTGTAGTGATGTATGGAAGTGAGAGCTAGACCATAAAGAAAGCTGACCGCCGAAGAACTGATGCTTTTGATTTGTGGCGCTGGAGGAGCCTCTTGAGAGTCCCCTGGACTGCAAGGAGAACAAACCTATCTGTTCTGAAGGAAATCAACCCTTAGTGCTCACTGGAAGGACAGAGCCTGAAGCTGAGGCTCCCAATACTTTGGACATCTCATGAGAAGAAAAGACTCCCTGGAAAAGACGCTGATGTTAGGAAAGTGTGAAGGCAGGAGGAGAAGGGGACGTTAGAGGACGAGATGGTTAGAGAGTGTCATCGAAGGTACCAACATGAATTTGACCGAACTCCGCGAGGCAGTGGAATACATGAGGGCCTGGCATGCTCTGGTCCATGGGGTCATGAAGAGTCGGACACGACTAAACGACTAAACAACAACAAAAGAGACCTGTGAAAATAAAATGGGCCTTTTCCTTCAATCTGAAGGATAGCAGTGAAGACACCACGGGCATGTGTAGGGAGAATTGCACAACTAGGTGCCACTATCAAACTGCTACCACAGCCTCCTTGGTGGTAACTATCTGCCTAAGTTCTGAAAATCATATAACTTCCTAGACTGCCATACTAAAGGATCAGCTATAAATGAAAGAGGAGATGGTGATGTTGTAAAAGGCCATTTTAGGATTATCATCATTGGTGAAGAAGAGAAATTAGTCCTTAGAATACACCACCTCTCAGGAATTGTTTAGGCTTCAATTCAGTTAGACTCATGGTTCTTCATGCACTTTCCTTGTAATTCTTCCAGTTTTCCTAATGACCAGGCAGTCATACTCCCCTTTAATCTTTGACTGTGGCAATTTGAATTGGGGGCCTTGCAGTGATATTGTATAGGCTGCCTCCCCCCCCCAATCTTAAATCACTGGAGTCTGACTCATTAAAAATGTTTTCGTTGTTAAAAAAAATAAGATAGTGTGATGTTCCATATAATAAAACTAAACTTTTATGTACCACAACTGTGCTTATCCGCTGGATGTTCTGTGTTGCAGGAATGGCCAGTATAGACAGCAGTGCACCAGAAACCACCTCGGACAGTTCTCCAACTCTCAGCAGGCGCCCCCTACGTGGAGGATGGGCAGCCACATCTTGGGGCAGGGGACAAGACAGCGACAGCATCAGCAGCTCTTCCAGTGACTCATTGGGTTCCTCTTCTTCCAGCGGGAGTAGGAGAGCCAGTGGAGGAGCACGTGCAAAGACCGTGGAAGTTGGCAGGTAAGAGCTGCTGCCCCTTTTCCAAAACTCTGCATTTTTTTTCCAGAAGCCAGACTTTTGAAGGCTGTCAGAATTGGAGATGGGACATGAGGAGGTGCTGGTTGGGAGTCCCCACAGAGACCCCATCAAAATCTGGAGATTCGGAACTTGACTAATGAACTTAAGTTGTTTCTAGTCTGAGATGGACTTCTGTGCCATATCCATTTAATATCAGAATCCAACGAGAAATGCTCCTGACTGAGCACCAAAGTCAGACAAGAGCAGGTAGTGAAGTATTCCATCACTGCCCTCCCTTCTCAAGATTTCACTCTGGATATTCTGCAGTGTCTGAGTTCTCAGATATTTGAAGGCACTATAAGAGTGTGTTGCCTAAATTTAATTTCAATGGTAGATATGAGTTAAGTTTATTTTATGCATCTTTTCTGTCTTCCAGATATAAGGGCAGGCGACCAGAGAGCCATGCTCCCCATGTCCCAAACCAGCCCTCAGAGGCTGCTGCACACTTCTATTTTGAGCTAGCCAAGACAGTACTCATTAAGGCAGGTGGAAACAGCAGTACCTCTATTTTTACCCACCCATCCTCTAGTGGTGGCCACCAAGGGCCTCATCGCAACCTCCACCTTTGCGCTTTTGAAATTGGACTCTACGCACTCGGGTTGCACAACTTTGTCTCTCCCAACTGGCTCTCTCGAACCTACTCCTCCCATGTTTCTTGGATCACAGGTGAGAAAAGTGTGTGATTGTTCTGCTCCATGGCAGTTACCTCTTTCTATGTTTAGTAACTTGAAACGCCTATAACAGAAAACCTTTCATTGTAGTTACTGACATTTAAGAACTTGTAGCTAAAATTTGCCAGCACAATCTATACAGCATAGGCTTTTTCACAGTGCTTGATGATAGACTTGTAAGTCCAGAAGGATCAGGTTTCCACTGTCTTAATGCAGTTGCTTATCGATCCTCTTGTTAACCCACATGGTAGAAATTGCAGTCTCTAGAGACCAGAAGCAAATAAAAGGCCATTCTCTCAAGGTGGCTGCTCTCCCAGTTATACATGTTGGAAGTAGATCCAGGAAGCAATGGGAACAGAGAGATCTGCCTAAGGTATCTTACCATTTTTAAAAGGTTTTGACTGAAGATGGAAGAGTTTATGCTCCTTACAATGTTTGAAACATATAATTATCCACAAGTTGCACTGCTATTCAAAATTTGATTTTGATTCATCTAGTCAGCATTTAGAAGACATTTTAATGTACAAGTTTTTAATCTGTACCATGTCCAAGTGAAAAATAGCCTGTAGTTGGTGTATCTGTTTTAAGTATTCAGGAGAACTATGTGTAACATTTAAGCTGTGAACAAGGAGGAAATATGGGGCCGATAGTCTTGTGGTCCAGGAGGTATATGATTGGCTGTGTATTTGGTAGGCTGTTGAGTTCAGGTCCCCACATGGTCTGGGCAAATTGCATTATCTGTTTGAAACTCAACTAAAATATTATGCTGGCATAACTGCTGGTAAAGATTTCAGCTGAGAATGGATACAAGTTAAAAAGTTAGCCTAGGCATTTGCTGTTATGTCCTGAATCACATGATTGGAGTACAATAGCAAATGTCTATGCCAGCTTCTTCACTTGTGGTGGTTGGCAGGTAAGGTTTGCATTGATACAGTTCTGTGAATGGAGGGTAACTCAGTGGGGGTGTGGCCTCTGGTTCCCATCTGTATATGAAAATATTTCCCTGGAAGTTTTAGAAACAAATAGACTGGGTGTGAAATATATCAGTGCATCACATACAACACTCCCCCCCTTTTTTACAGTATTTTCTCTTATCCTGTTGCAGTGTCACAAATCAGTTTATTAGACTGTAACGCTTTCCCACCAATAGTGTAAAGGTAAATACTGTGGATGAGAAAGAAACAAGAGTGTGTGGCTTTCAATTGCTAGTAGTTGTTAGGCTTCTCTCTATAGCATGTCCAGTATCAGAGGCCTCTATGAGAGTCACTTGCAGTGGAATATGAGCTGCTGTTACCCTCCTGTGCTGCTTGTGAGTTCCCCAAGGGCAACTGGTTGGCTGTTATATAAACCGAATGCAGTGTGGTGATTCCTGTCTTGTCCCAAATGGCCTCTTCTATAGCAGTATAGTCTTCTCATTATTGAAGGATGGAAATGATGACCTAAAAGGTCTTGAAGTTTCTCTATATTAGCTTATCAACATCAGGATATTTTGGGTACCAGTGCTGCTTTGTGAATGATTATTAAGAGTTATGAAAAAAAATGGTCTCTAACATGAACATCACAATCCTATATTCTTTTTACTGTTTAGTTGGTCCTCAGTGTTTACTATCCTCCTCAACCACTGCCATGCATTTGAGAAAGTAGGCGCTAGGCCATGAACGCTAATGCTGGAATGTCATTTGTTAGTTGGCGGTACTGCAAGATTCTGCTTTCTTTCTTTTCCCTCTGGCTCTAGGGCAAGCCATGGAGATTGGTAGTGCTGCCTTGAACATCCTGGTGGAATGCTGGGATGGACATCTAACCCCGCCAGAGGTGGCATCCTTGGCGGATAGGGCATCAAGAGCTAGGGACTCCAATATGGTGCGAGCAGCAGCAGAGCTGGCATTGAGCTGCTTGCCACATGCCCATGCTTTGAACCCAAATGAGATACAGAGAGCCCTGGTCCAGTGTAAGGAGCAGGTGAGCAATTCACAGGCCTTCAGCCCATTTTCATAGCCAGAAAGCTGGCTTCCTCCTGCTTTTGAGGAATGACTTTTTTTCTTTGATCTTTAAGAAATAATATATTGATTTGTGTCATATATAAAACACATCAGAATTCCACTCAGAAGAGCAGTCTCCACAAATCAGACTGAGATGATAGGGGAACAGGAAAACACCACATCAAATTAAAGAGAAGAATTCATATGGGTTAGTGACATCTTGGACTGTCGTTGTGATTTTTAAAATTAAAAAAAATCTAAATATCGTGTACTGTCATTATAACTTTTTCAAGGCCGGGCCTTATTTTCCTGATGTGAAAAATAGCATGCTGGGCAGTTACTTTGTATTACATTATGTTACATTCACCAGCATTTTATGAGAGAGAATTAGTTCATAAATATCTTACACTTCAGTAGGGAAATGGAAATTGTGTCTCTTCCCTTCTGTCTTAATTATTGTTATTGTCAATGGATTACAACAGAATGCAGAAGGAGATATAGATAGATAGGCGCATGTCTCTCCAAGTGTGAGGCTAACTAGAGAGAGGGCTGTGGATGGTAACACATTAGCTGTGGAATACTCTTCTGAAACTGGTCCACTTAGCATCTGCTTCATTGTCATTTTATTTTCCCAAGCTCCTTGGGTATATTTTTATTTTGCTGACTGTTTTATGTTTATTTTGTTATCTTATGGTCTTGCTGTATCTTGTTTGTATTTACATTTTGGCTGTAAGTTATGAAGGCTTCTATAATCTTTAACTAACCTATATTGTCCTCAACGCTACAGGATAATCTAATGCTGGAGAAGGCTTGCTTGGCAGTGGAGGAAGCAGCCAAAGGGGGTGGCGTTTACCCTGAAGTCCTCTTTGAAGTTGCTCACCAGTGGTACTGGTTGTATGAACAAACTGTGGGTGGCACTCTTGCCCAGAGGGAGGGTGCCACTGGTTGCAGTGCAAGCGGCGCCCGGGCCTCTTGCGAAGCGGTCCGTGGACTGGCAGATACCAGAGTGACATCAGAAGCAGCCACCGTGACTGTGGCGGCTGCAGTGACAGCAGCAGCAACAGTGGTGCCGGTGATCTCAGTGGGCTCGACAATATACCAGCAGCACACCATGGCAGGGCCGGCAATGGCACACGCACACACCCAGGGTCTGCACCCGTATACAACACTCCAGACCCACATCCCTTGCAATCCTCAGTACCTTGGACACCCCATCCAGCACATGCCACGGCCAGCAGTCTTTCCCGTGCCCGGCTCTGCTTATCCTCAAGTAAGTGCTCTTTGTTGGGCTAAGCACCTAAAATAACAATTCCCTACCTTCATCCCCAGGTGTTGTGGCCTAGGTGAGTAGACAAGATGACATACAAAGGCCCACTGCCTTCTCCTTTTGTGAGAGAATGTGTGCTATTTCTTGGAGGTGCCAGAAATTAAATTTAGTAACTTGGACATGCAGAGTATCTTTTTGTACAGTGAGGCAAGGCAGAGGCAGAAGCCAGCCAGAGACAGCAGTGGGCCAGAAGGCCCTGGAGTCTGCTACTGTATAAAATGGCTATGCATGTTCCTGCTTTGGCTTCTCCATTTGCTACAGAAAATTTAGAGCTTAAAAATGTGCAACATGAGGATTAGAGATTTAGCTTGCGATTTTATGGAAACAATTAACAACAGTCTGTGTGTTTTTGTCCATGCAACATGAGGATTAGAGATTTAGCTTGCTATTTTATGGAAACAGTTAACAGTCTCTGTGTTTTTGTCCTTTGTTTTTGAAGACGACAACTACCATCTAATTTATAATTTACTTTAAAAAAGTTGTTTCTTTAGAAAACAAAATACTGCTGGTTTGGGTGCCATTTCAAAGCATGCTGAACATGATTCTTCCTGATAACAAAGCTTGAAGGCCACACTCAGTTTTAAAAAAAATGCTTTTAAGGTCCACATTCCAGTGGTAGGCAGGTCAAAAGACAGAAGAGCAGGACCAGAAATACCAGCATATTTGAGCTGAAATCTCTTACTGCTGGTAGCTAAGGCTTGAGATTTTCCATCCCTGCTGTAAAAGGAAGCTACATACTTTCCCCCACTCCAGTCCATGTGAACAGAGGTACCATAGTCAGGAAACCCCACCCCAATAAGGTAGGATTACTGGTTCTTTCTCTCCTTTCATCCTTCCTTCCTTAAACCATTTTATTCAGGATATCTTGTCCTGGAAGTATGAAATAAATTCTGTGCTCTCAGAAACCAAACTGTATGAAAGGAATGTAGGTGTATTTATTAGAAGGGCTGCTTAGAGGCAACTCTTTAAAAGCCCTGCCTTGCATCTTGGGTGCAAGGCAGCATTACCTTGTCCTCTTCCTTTGCAGGGTGTCCACCCAGCATTCATTGGGGCACAGTATCCTTACTCGGTAACTACCCCATCTTTGGCAGCTACAGCAGTGTCGTTCCCTGGAGTGCCCGTGCCATCCATGACGCAGATTGCTGTGCATCCATACCATGCGGAGACAGGGCTGCCTCTGTCTTCCAATGTAGCCAGTGAGTATTTCTATCTTAACATGTTGAGATATATGCATGGAAAAGGCAATTCTAATTTTTTCATTGAATACATTTTGTGATGGTGCCTAAGCCTGTGGTAATAATCTGTTATGGTACCTGGGCAGGAGCTTCTTAATTTTGCTATGAAATCTCAAAGGTAGGAGTCCAACACTATATGAAAGACATTGTTTGCTTTGAGATGATTTTTTGTCATGGCGTCATAGTGGGTCTTTCTTATTTTAATCTCTCCTTTCTTTGCCATTTTCATTTTGTAATGCCTTGGGGCTGGTGTAGAGCCCAGAGGCATTCTGGGACAATAATGATGACCAGCACTTGAAGTTAGAATCAGTCCCAGCCTCTAGGAATAGAAAAAAGTAAATGAAAATACTTTCTGATATGTAGGGAGCATATTGCCTTGGCCAACGGCAAGGGAGGAGTCTGTGGGTGCAAGTGGCACTGTTGGCCAACCCATTGCTGCTAGAGCTGCAGGTGGGAGACTAGCCTTCCTGCTTCTTCCCTCAAAGAAAGAAAATTCATTCCACTTACCCTTTGATTATGGGGTGTCTTCTCACTGTTCTTTTTTGACAATTTTAGTAGCATCTTTTGAGGACTGTCTGTAAACCTGGTGTGCTGTGGTGTTTTCCATTGAGGTGGATGACTAGGGAATAATATCCTTTTTTTTCCACCTGTGTTTTAAACATAGATGAACACTAAAGGGAATGTTTCCTTCTCAGTCGTCTGTGCATCCTACAGTGGTGGGTGGGTGTGTCACTTTCCGGAGCATCGGCAGAACAAGATTAAAACTCATGTCCACCCATTTGATATGTGCTTCATCTGC